GCCCACTCCGTGACTCGTAAGACACTCGTCTGTCCCCGTGGAGTGCATCTTCACTGTCTAATTCTTCGTCATTCCGCGGCTCGGTCAAAGGGTCTCCTTTGGATTCTCTCAGAGAAAGTGTAGGAAGATGAACATCTCCGCAGCTCGCTGAAGGCTCACTAACGTGTCGCTTGCGTAAGTTGGAGCCACAAAGACAACGGCATTGGCACTGCCAGCACAGCTTACAATGCGCTGCTCCTACACNCGTAAGTTGGAGCCACAAAGACAACGGCATTGGCACTGCCAGCACAGCTTACAATGCGCTGCTCCTACACCACCAGTCTGCAGAATGTACTTGGCGTTGGGCGAAAATTGAACGAAATCTGCTGCACATCCATCAGCAGAAGCGATGGTTTTGATTGCACGCATGCCATCAGGCAGGCTAATGAGAATTGTCTCCCCGTCAGCCCCTTCCAAAACTTCATTCGTTCCCACACGCCCAGCAGCACGATACCGAGCGATAGAGGCTGCCAGCAACGTGCCATCGGGTGACACGTCAAACGCCATGAGAGACTGGCTTCCTATATCCTGCTCACTTGGCCCTAAGCGCCTTGCTTCCAGTGCGTAAGGGGTTGGATGTCCGCAGCTGGAGCCTCCAGAGCTGTAATGAAATGGGAATCGAAGGTCAAAGACGCGAATCCACCGGTCTTCACGGCCTCCTGTGAGGAATAACTGTGGATGCAAAGCTACGCCAGTACCGATCCCACATAGAGCACCATCATGCGCGGAAGGAAGGCGAAGAGTGGGGCAGAACTTCTGTCCAAAAAGCTTCGCACTGAGACCTGATATACGCAAGTCGAATACCATAACGTCGCCATTTGGGGAACCAGAAAAAATGAGAGGAGTGTTCGGGTCCCGGTTGACATGGACACAAGCAGCATAGCTACTACGACTGGGCACCGCACCGTGCTCCCCAACTACTTGCATTTCAGAAAGAAAGGCTCCATGGTTCATGTCAAAAGTAAGAATAGTGCCTTCCGATGTGCACGCCAAGAGCAGCGAAGGACTGGATGGCGAAAAAAGGACATCATAAACTCCCCTGGATGAACCGAGGCGGGTGCCCTTTTGGGGTAACGGCAACATATATTTCGCCACAGGGGAAATTGCACTTGGAGGCTTGTAATGGGGGCGGCACTGTGTTAGTAGATGAGTATCCACTGTAGCCCCTGCCTCAGGAAGCGACCCGTAAGCCAGCGAACAGATCGAGCTCCTCTGTTGCCTATCCATTTTGCTTGACGTGTCCCGCTGCTAACGACGCCGATACATACAGCCCCACTCAAAAGGAACAACTGGCATCGAAACCAAATATCGCTTTGTTGGGCATGAGCTTTAGCTGCTCCATCACGATGTACTTGCGTTGAACCACCAGCATTGTCGGCGATATTCGCTTTATAAAGGGGATGCCGCCCAATTGAATTCCTGTCAAAAGATACATCTGTCCTCAAAAGAAAGTGGCACGAACAATATCCTATTGAACGCAATTTCTGTATGTGTGATAGCAGTTGATTACCCGTGTAGTAGTTCCCCGACGGCTAAAGGTTCACTCGCGCTTAATCATCGCGTCGAGATATTTCACTTGTTCACAAAGGATTATAACCGGTATTTCCACCCATCAGAAATAAAATTGCTTAACATGATGTGTACATGCAAAATAGTAGCCCGTAGTCCGATTGCGAATGCGTGTGGCGTTCTCGCATGCAGCCATCGAGCATACTGCTAAGACGGCAATGTCATTTTTTACTGATTTGCACAGTTTTACAAACTAAGGTTGACGGGAAACGGTTATTTTGGGTCCATTTTCCATGCAGAAGATTGAGAACACGTTGTCTGACTCGCTCTTAATATGCTCAACGCGTCGAACTACCATTGCCCAGCGCCGACGAGACAGGCCTTGACGAAAGATTGCGAGCACTACACTACTTTTGACTGGTACGCTCTGCAGCCTGAGGGGAGAAATTGGTTCTTTCTCATTAAGGGCTCTGACTTTTCAACAGGAAATGTCTTTCGTTCTGATCGATAGACTCGAGAGGCCGTACAGGGCAACTACTAGCGTTCAGGGGCCAAGATGACTAGATGTTGGCATTTTCATCTATTTTTAGTTGACTGATATACATTTTAAAGGCGCATTGCTTCAAAAAACGTGATTTAACGTGTACGGTTGAGGCAATTGCCAAAGACGTGTTTCGGTGCGCAAAGTCACTCTTTGTACACGCCAGTGCGCATCTCGTTGAGTGCTTCTTCGAGTGCTCTTCGGGATTCTTCGTGTGTAGACAGAGCCACAGAAGACATAGAAGATACGTTCTTTCCACTTTCGTCCATTTGGCCTGAATTTGAAGGACTTATATCTGGTTAGGCTTCCACTGTTTCGAATTTCTTACTTTGCTCATGGTATGCCATGGCCCACATAGCCAACAGGGCAATGACTCCAATGATGGTTCCCAAGTTTAACTCAAAGATCCGGTTGGCAGTGAAAAACACAGCTGAAGAGGAGAACTCGTGTGAAACAGTTGACAGTAGATGAAGTGAGTCGGTTGGACTAACCTGGCTCGAGAGCGACGAAGTCACCAATGCCACCGTAGACCGCAATCAACTGTGCCGAATCATTAAGTTCTGTTTAGAGTAGTAAATGCAGTTTAGGCTCACGTTAGTGTAGAAGGATATTCCGGAAGCGGCTATGTATGCGCAGTTGAGAGAAACAACGCGGCATTGAACTTTTCGGCTATCTGGGTGTTCTCTGATCTTGCGGAACACTAGAGCTGATACAACACCGAGGTATATGAAGTAGAGCAGGCCAGCGAGCATGACATTGCCGGTAACGAGTCCTGCCACGCCGTATCGGTATGGCANCCTTGAAATTAGGTGGTAGGACATGTTCGCCACCAAGATGCAGTACATTTTCATGCAGGCACACCACGCAAGGGGTTCCTGTGAGAGACGAGATGGATTGCGAATTTTCGAAGGGAAGGTTCACACTAGCGTACTCTTTCCATTCCCTGTGTGTGTGGAAGGTGGGCTCGAACTGTGTGGAGTTGCTCAACGGAGTCCATGCTTCTCAGTGCGAGCATCATGGCAGCAAGGCCCAATGCCAGTGCCACCGGGATGGCGATGAGTGCCCTCAGGCACAAAACTGTGGTGGATCATGTAAAAAGCAGGATTAGTGCTGGTCGCCAAGTCGTTGGGTTCATACCGTTCTGAAGAATCACAATGCCAGCAGAGTGGAAGACAAAGAAAGATGTGCCCAAGAGCATCTTCCGGGCATGGGCAGTTGTTCTCCTGAATTTCCGCATTTTACTTCCGACATCTAGCATTAGTTGTCAGGAATCCTTCCTACCCTTTTTGGATGCCTCGAAGTGCTCCAGGAACCTANCGAGAAATTGGCGTACAAGAATGGCGTATATAAGTGCCTGGACAATCGCATATAACATGGATTGGTAAGGACCGGGCGCGATCTCGATGCTCAGACGCGTTAGGGTTGAAGACTTGAAGAACTTGGATTTGGGTGCAAGGGCTACAAGCTGAATCAAGCACATTATAGTTCATGAGATGTTGGATTTTAGAACAGTCAAATTTACTGGTGCAACGGAAGCTGCTAGTTCCGCAGCGCGCGCCTCTGCCTGATAAGTGGGTTTTTGATTCCTGGTATTGGTCAAAAAGGAATGGCGGCGTTTCTTACGATCTTCAGTTGGGCGTTCTGGTATGGCTTGAGATCCAGCATGCTGACGGAGTCAGAGAATGGCTTGATCTGCAAACGATTTTTTAGTTGGTTGGACGTTGATAGTAAAGATAAATCTGCTTCGACAGTACCTGGCGAGTCATCGGAATTCCAACGAGTGCAGAAAGGCAATCATCGAGTTTAGGAGCAGCCGGGAGGACGTATACGTCCTGGACTCGCCTGGAGAGCAGAGTATACATCGATTTCCGTTGGACGGAAAGGAATTTAAGTTACAAGTTCATTTGCTCGAGAGTCGTGTGATGGGCGGACGTCACTCCAAACACGTGTGCAACTTCTGGAAGGAGGACATCGATGAACTCAGGCCCCTCCAGAACGTCGGTTGCACCACTGCTCACAATGGAGCAGGCGGCAACGAGTGCCGCGCCGTATGCTCTCATGGTGGTAGATGAAATTGACTATTGTAAATCCCCGGTATTGAGCCCGGCAAACTGTTCGCTCATGCAGCAATTCTAGTGCAGCGCGGCTGGTTTCACATTCTCAGGGAACCTCCTAGGTGTCGGTACACCTGGGCAGTGTATTCCCGTCAAGTTACAGCCCGTTCGTCACACTCCGAAATTTTGTTTTTAATTGAGGCGGCGAAACCTTTAATGGTTTCATCAATTAGTTGGTAAGCCTTTTCGTTTCAGGTTTAAGCAGATGAAAAGTTAGAACAAACGCGGTGCCATAGTGGATATACGCAAAATAGCTTGAATCCTCTACAGCGATTGCCATGCTTCCTTACACCTGCACTAGGTGCAAGAAATGCGGCAGAATGTGTTAAAAATGAACTTCCTTGACGCTATCGTGCCAACGGAATTTGGAAATCCGTGCAAAATCCGACTGTACTGCATTGTTCCAATGCAGGAACGACCTATTCTCTGTTTGAATGCAACATTTTTAGATGTTTTCGCTTAATACGGCTGATTCCCTGTCAGTCGGAAGTCCATTGGCTTGGTCTCGAGTTAAGATCACCTTCTCCAGCAAACGCCATGTCTGATGAATGCACAGTCAGCCACGCCCCATTTGAATTGTAC